TTTCCAACGATCTAGAGACTCAAAAATTTTTAAATTACTGCTCAGCGCCAACCATGGTAGCGCCTCGCGATCGTGGGAGTTGGGCCCACTAAGTTTAACAAGCTTTCTACCCCCTGAGTGACCCAGTTGTGGTATTTACATAAACATACCATGCAAGTACACCTAACTGATCAGATTCTGTCTATCAACGCACAATGTAACGCTGTATATCCAAAAATCTGTTTCAGAAAATGCTCACATTTCAGTTCTAGGGGTGGAAAAATAGACTCCCAGACTCCCCTACTAGTACATACCATACCACACCAAACTTTTTGTCACCAACAACCATCTGTCGTCTGTACACACTCAATATAGTATGGTCCCTTTTTGTAGATGCCCACCCCCCAGACAAGTTCTTAAAATCTCATTTCGCTGTATGAAGACGGGTCATGGGTTAGGGTTATGGTAGGACAAATGTTGCATTGCAAAGTAGTAACACATAATATATATTTTTTAATCATATATGGTTGAATCATATTCACCAGGGGCCGTTGTTCAAAGCTGGGTTAGCTTAACCCTAGGTTAACCTAAAATTCAAAGCAAACTTCCTGACAGCTTGTCTATAAATTTGGAAATATTTCTTCAGAGATCTTGTCTGGATGGATAGGAGTTTACTTGTCTGAAGTTTTGAAATAAACAGACGTGCAGAAATACACAAACTAAAACAGCAGGTTAAACTTTTAACCCAGGGTTAGCGCTAACCCACCTTTGAACAACCGGCCCCAGGGTAAAACATCATGAGCTAGATTGAACAGATTGTCCTAATATCTAACTTTACCTGCAATGCACACCTGTTTCATTGCTGTTAATTTTTCAATCTACACTGGGGGGGCGGGGGGGTCAGAGAAGTTTCTACTTTTATGAGGGGGGAGGCACAAAAAGTTTGCCTTCAGTCTGGAGGGGGGGGGACAAAAAAGTTTTCAATCCTTATTTTCCCCATTTCCCAACTCCCCCCCTCCCCATAAATAATGACCACTCCCTTATGGTATATCGTAATTTCTCTGTTTAGCAAACCCCCACCCCTACTCCCCACCCCTTTCTCCTGCAACCAATTAATTAATGTATAAAATCGTGAAACATGAAAGTATTGTATTTGAAAGATAATTATGATATTTTACTGATAAGCACAGTACCCGATGTTGCATATATAAAGAGAATCAAACGTGCAAAACAGTTGTATATATTAGAATTAAACCCCCTCCCGCCTTCTCCCCTAATAAATTGGATAGAGAAATTACGGTATGCATGTTCTAGAATATTTAGGATTGTGATATTATTTAAAGCCTGAAAAACAGATTCGCTTGCAAATGTTATGCAATTGCTGTAGTATAAAATAACATCATATTTTAAATAAGTTATCATTGTAATGTTGGCTTGGAAGTGTTCCTGGCAAGGGCTCGACACGGTACATTGCTCAAAATGTTTGTAAACTCCATTAAAATGCACAGAACATAAAAATATCATATATTTTTTAAATATTCCGATGTCATCTTGTTTTACTTCAGCCCTGCTTTCGCACATTTCATAATTTTTTTCTTGTCCAGTCCTTGTCCAGTCCTAGTTGAGATCAGTTTTTCTTATCTGCGCGTGCGCATTACGTGTTTTGTGCTCAAGCGCATGCGTATTTGCAACACAACAATGGCGGTTCATGGTTCCGAAACACGACGAAGCGGGAACTTTGAAGAGCTTATACTTCAATTTGTGCAACTATTTCGCTTGGGGGGAAGTGGATTCTAACTAAGTTATAATCTATAGATTCATGTAAAAATTATGTAGTTACACGAGGGGTGCTACGGAATCTGTTTTCTAAGCATATTTTCGACCCTCATCTCATGGCCTAAACAAGTTGAACTGGTGAACGTAATAGAGAAGCACTATAACTAAACTCGCCGAAATCGAACCCCCACGATGCTCATGATAAATAAATTATTAAATACTTCAAACAAAGCTTGAAGACATTTGTTACAAGTCAAAATACATTATACAAGATCCTTCCTTCCGTTTTTGTAGTTCGTTAATACCGCGGGTTAATTAACTGTCAATCACTGAAGCCTTTTCAATAAAAACTATTTCAATATATTAAAAATCATAAAAATCAGCCAGTTTCTTCTAGACAATGAATTAAAAGTTGTTTACAACATAGTCATAGAAGCATCAGTTTTAAAATGAAGACCTACACACCAAGCCAGATTTAATATGTATGGTACACTTTTAATAACTATTAGTATTGAGGAGAAACAGTGGCAATTTAAAAACATGTTTCTCCTATTTTAAATATCATAAAATTTGAAAACAAAGCAGTTTTCAATGCATGTTTACTTTAGTTCGGCTGAAAAGCCGGTTAATGGCTGCATCAATTAGCATGCAGCATGTATAAACAACGTTTTAAAACAAAACTAGAAGAGAACATGACTTACCATGTTCACGCATCTGTAGTAATTTGTAATGGGAAAATAATTATTTAAGTTTTTATCATGAGCGGTCCGCCGGTCCAGCTGAGTGGCCCGTATATACTGTTGGTTTCGACAGCTCAGGAACCAATCCAAATGCTACCTACATTTTGTGTAATTTTGCAGATGGACCAGCTTGTTCATTAACACCGCATGGTCACAGGAATTATACTTTATAGATATCTGTTTGGCTTATCTTGTTTTGACTGTTTCCGACAATTATTGAATGTGATATACATGCATTAACTATACAGTTTGTTATTGTAGCATGTTTCCTGTCTTGAATGCTTGAAGATTACCATTGGATTAGCGTGCTTGCTTGAACACATACCAAGCTCATGCTAGAATGCAAGCCAAGCATGTCGCGGTCACGTTAAAAAAAGCAACGTTTGCTTGCTGTTGTTGACAGATAAAAATTAAAAACCTATCTAATAATGTAAAGTCCATTATATGATAGGCAACGAATATACATTATTCTTGTGATTTCGTAGGCCTAACTAAGTTAAGACTTTAGAACATATAGAGAAATGTGTCTTTGTCCTTGGTTCAGGCGAAAATCGCTTGCCCGATCGTTATTCATGATCAAATTCATATTATATGTATTAAATAGGAATGTTAACATCGTATATTATATAATTGCAAGGACAAGAACTAACTTTGAATTTGGTTTCTGCTTCAGGTTTCCATACAGAAATACCGTTTATTCATTCGACTTTTCACTGCTTAGCGTGTTGTTGTGTAAGCAAAATAGTTCTAATCTACCGCTTTCTGTTTCTATTCAAATTAAAAATGACATGTTGAAATTACTTGTCTATTTGCCTCCTAAAACTCAATATTTTACTTGGCTGAATTATTTAATCCACTTGAGATCCACATTCTAGCATGATTCAAACATACCCTGTAGTGTGTTTGGATCGTGCTTCGGTGCCTTTGAAATTTCAAGCAAATCGTGTCAGATTTCAAGCATGCTTGAGTTTTGTGTTTTGCGCAGTCACACTAGCAAGCGCACTTGGAAGGTGATGTGTTGAGCAATTCAAGTGGATTTAGTTCAAGCAAGCACGATTCTAGCGCTAGTGTGACCGCGACCCATGCAAACGTCCTGACAGTTTCCTAAATTTTTGTACATAAATAAGACAATTCACCGTTTTAGTGCATTTATTATACCAGAAGAAAACAACCCACATGCAGAACCAATTAATAACAACGTAAGATACAATATAACTATATACAACGTTATATAAGGAAAATTAAAACAAGAAATGTACGTGTTCTAGTACAAAATTTAGTTAATTGTTTTCTTGCAATATGGACAATACCTAAAACAAAGAAGCAGAGTCATTCCATATAAGATGCAAATACTCTTCGTCATGCAGACTTCCTTTCCCGCAGAGGCGTTTAGTCGAGTTTTTTTTCGCAACTCGGCGCTTGCTATACGAAAATAGTATGCATTCTGGTTTTCTGGGGCCGGTTGTTCGAAAGCCGCTTAGCTTTCTAACCCTAGGTTAACGATAAACTTCAAAGCAAACTTTCCCACAGCTGGTACGAAAATGTGGGAATATTTTTCCAGAAATCGTTATTGTATCAATAGAACTTTTATTTTCTAAAGTTTTGAACTGCACAGATTTGCAAAATGCGCAAACTGAAACAGCGTGTTAAATTTCACCGGATTTGCATCGCAGCAGTGGCATAGCAAGCTCGATAATTAGGGGGGGGGGCTTTATTCATATATTCGTGTTCACATAACACATATACCATAAAAACAATCTATTTCAAAAGAAATTAATAATGCAGAAAACGAATATTGCCCTCTATATATTATTAAATAATTTTATAAGGTGTGTTTATAGCCGACTAAAAATTGCGATCATATGAGTAACAAATAAATAATTGTATGAAAACAAATATGAAAATTGTACGAGCAGACAAGATTGGTAAACGTACTAAATTGATGTCCTTCCGGTGCGAACAGGTATTGTGTAACTGGGGCCTTGAACGATGGTATAAAAACTGTTTGTACTCAATGTCGTTCCCCATGATACATCCCCTTTGTCCTGTGGTGGGAACAGGACAAAGGGAACGCAAGCGTCCTAGCTCTTATATGATCAGTTATTACAGGCGTAATGGTATAACTAAGCGGACTAAAACGACAAAAAAACTTACCACGGGTTTTCATTTGGCACACTCTGGAGATTTAAACATACCAAATGGTAATATCTGCTACCAGGACACTGTGGATAAAATTAACGTTTTAATAATATAGAGGGCAAAATTATTCCAATATGATTTGGCTATAATCACGAGGGCAATTTTTCTTAATTCAGGGCAAATTACTTGCATCTCATTAGCAGATGCATCAGTGTGAGATATTGTCACAGTTGCCGTATAAATATAAAACCCCTAAAAAATTATCTGACCACTAGTGACTAATCCTGCCATAACATCAGATGCATAAGTGATCCTCCAATAAAGGTAAACTATTATCTGTTATTGACTAGTGTGATAATTATTTACTTTTGTATCTTTTTTCCATTTTCTGTTTTCACAGATAACCATTTGATCTTCCTCTTCCTTTGATCTCCCCTAAATGAATAAAGATATACATATCGTGTAAATTATGCCGATGAAATTATGCTATCCAAGACAAGCATGTTGCAACATGGCAGCTTCTTCGAAGAACCAAATAGTCGAATTGTTTCATCAACTGTCTAATGCTGGAATATATATTAAGAAAACCTCTACACGTTTCGACCTATGCTCAGCTATGGGCCTTCGTCAGGAGAGTTTTCTAATATATTTTAGGCAGATGATGAAACAATTGGACTATTTTGAAATTATGCTAGTTACATGACGAAGCTCGTATGCATCTGTGCATTGAGACAAAACTACTTGGGTGTATACAACGGCTATATAAATTAGCTTAACTATATGGCCTTTTTCAAATACAAATACAAGATATATATCTTCATCAAGACATATAAAATCTGCTTGATCAAAAACACTCGTGTAGTATTGATTTGGTTAATGCTATATTACTACTAGTTAAAACATGAGCAGCCGATCTTTATCTGATACACAAACTCGAGCCGAAGGGCGAAGGGGAGAGTGGTACATCAGATAAAGATCGGATGCGAATGTTTTAACATGCTTAAAAAGCGACGCATCTTATCAGTTAATTGACATTGGCGAAGTAATTTTAAAAATAGACATTGTCTGAGGCTAAGCCGAGAAAATCAAAGCTGAAGTTTATGTATAAATCAGGACAAATCTGTATCCGATTTACAAACATTGATTAATTAAACATTAATTTCTTTTGTATTTTCTAGTTCATGAATTATTAATGACTTTTTAAGTATATTTAACAATTATCGCCTAGACCAGGTGATATCCATGAATATAAAAACAGAGACGACGAAACGTGTTTGTGCTGGGGTATGCATACACGTAGGCTAAGACTCTGCTGGTATGGTTGCGCCTGAGATTATTAATTTTAAAACGCAATAATTGCCTGAAGCGTCATGTTTTCGCCGTATTTGTTAGGGTTTTTTCCCATTACAATAAAAAATGAATTTATACTAAATACTATATTAATATATACTAACATAGCCTACTAAATAGGCTACATAATTTATATTTTCAATTAAATCATACTTCCCTGATTCTAAGCTAACAAAACCCATTTCCCACATACCTTTTTACACAAGCAATACTTGTCTTGTATCCTGAAGTTGTGGTTTCTTCTACAATGAGAAACGTATTTTGATTATATACAGGAGGTAAATATTTTTACAATGTAGTGAAAAATACTTTTCTTATGTATGGATAAATATGCATGCAAGGAGCTGTAGTGTTTAGGCTATTTCCTGTAATTAGTTTATCTATAAGGCTAGGATAACTATACGTAAGAGAAACCATTAATGTACCATATCTTAATCTGCATCCTGTGCACACCTATAATAAATCAGATAATATATCCGATGTACGTAACAGTTGCAATCTATATAATATAAAATATAAATATCCATGTATCTGCATAGCTTCTGATAGTCAAGTATTTGCACTTATGTGCTTGTAATAAAGGTTAAAATTGACCATAAGACTTTGCATTATAAGTCTGTTCTGAATATAGTAGAATGTTTGTGAGTAAAAAAACTCAACAGGAACAAACTGTTCTTCTAGTGTAATTGTTAGTTGTTTTTCAATCGGACGCTTTAAACGTTTGGCTGCAGATAGTTAATAGAATGATTCAATTACCTGAGAATTTTATCTTTTTTGACTTTGTGCCCTCGTTTTTCAGAATTCCATCTTCAGTACGACATCTTTTGTTTCCACCCTTAACTGTGCTGAAGACATCGTTGCTGTCAATTTCACTAGATGCAACTGTTAAGAAATGCGAATTTTATCCGATATTAATGATTTGAATGATTAATTACTGAAGCATATTTTTCTACGCGTACGTATAAACTTTACAGTCAACAACTGCGTACCAGTCAGTCGATGAAGGTTATCGCTAAAATCATTGTGCTGAATCGCATGCTATAATTGGACTGTAAACGAAACATTTTGGCTTTTAGAAAAGTGTTGTGACTATTGACAAAAACAACAAGCAAAAGATTATAAGCAATCGGGGACCATGCAGTTTCTTGTCCAAAACTGGACAAAATATCTCTATTACTATCATGCATGAATTTCACACTGTCGAACAATTCCGCATTAACTTAAAGAATTCGATATAACGGAATTATACTGTACTAACCTTCTAAAAAGATACCACTGTCATCTAATGAGAATGGAGTTTTAATTTCATCGATCGCCATGGATGACAGTGCTCCGGCAGACTTCGATAGCTCTTCACCATTGGGTGTCGATGACTGGATACTATTAGGCGTCAATAGCTGGACACTAGTGGACGTAGATGACTGGACACTAGTAGTAGACGTCGATGGCTGGTCATTAATAGATGTCAGTGGCTGGACATTAGTAGCTAGTCGATGGCTTGACACTAATAGACTTCGATGGCTGGACACAGGTAGAAATAGATGGCTTGACAATATTAGACGTTGATGACTAGACACAGGCACAGGAAGACGTCGATGGCTGGACACAGGTAGACGTCGATGACTGGACACAGGTAGACTTTGATGGCTGGACACAGGTAGACGTCAATGACTGGACACAGGTAGACGTCGTTAGTAGAAGATGTCGATGACTGGACACTAGTCGATGGCTGGACACTAGTAGACGTCGATGGCTGGACACAGGTAGACTTCGATGGCTGGACACTAGTAGACTTCGATGGCTGGACACAGGTAGACTTCGATGGCTGGACACTAGTAGATGGCTTGACACTAATAGACTTCGATGGCTGGACACAGGTAGAAATAGATGGCTTGACAATATTAGACGTTGATGACTAGACACAGGACAAGTAGACTTCGATGGCTGGACACTAGTAGACGTCGATGGCTGGACACTAGTAGACGTCGATGACTGGACACGTTTCAGATTTGTTGCTGTATTGTTCCTTTGATTGTATATCGAATGTTGCAATATGACAATTAAATCCATAAATGTGACAGTGCATGTATGGTAGACTTTGATGGCTGGACACAGGTAGACGTCAATGACTGGACACAGGTAGACGTCGATGACTGGACACAGGTAGACGCCATCGATGGCTGGACACTAGTTGACGTCAATGGCTGGACACAGGTAGACTTCGATGGCTGGACACTAGTAGACTTCGATGGCTGGACACAGGTAGACTTCGATGGCTGGACACTAGTAGACGTCGATGGCTGGACACTAGTAGACGTCGATGACTGGACACTTGCAGATTTGTTGCTGTATTGTTCCTTTGATTGTATATCGAATGTTGCAATATGACAATTAAATCCATAAATGTGACAGTGCATGTATGCTATACGTATAGGCGTAGCGAGCATGATTTAAAATTTTGGTGCATGATGTCTTAGTAAGCTATAAGAATCCGAAAAAAAGTGACAGCAGTTGTTCCCTAAAAAATACGCAACTGTTCAGCGATTTATTTTATTTACGACTCGTTACAATTTTAAAGATATGGGCAATCCAAAACTTACGTCAATCTCTTTGAAGAAACTGAAGGATTTATACTTATTCAAAAACAAAAAATGTTCGTCTTATATGTTTTCCCTTTCTTTATTCAGAACAATACAAAAACTTAAGGGAACCATATGCACTAGAAACTACAAATTTTAAACTCGACGTATAGGGTATTAGACGACTAGTCCAAAAACAGGTATAGTTCCGTATAGTTCATTACGCGTTAATTTGTAGCCGGTTCGTTTGGCTAAAACGAGCATGCATCGGTAATTTATTCTTACTTTTTGCAACATGATATATTTACAAGACAGGAACGCCATTTTCGACGTACAAAAATAATATAACAATACATCAAGAAGAAATATATGTAAGTGATTATTCTCAATCTAACCGTTTGAATAAATTTAAAGTTTATGAATGAAGCGAATAATATCTTTACATTACTTTCTGAAAATACAGCCCAGCTAGCTGCTCCAAAAGCTGAATGCTTAATAATAACGCATTTCTTTGATATTACTTCCACGTCTGTTCCCGTAGTTGTTCGAGTTCTCTTTATTTTCGTACCATTAGGTGTTTTGTTGAAGAACTGTTTCCTCTTTTTGGTAGTACCAATTTCAAGCTCTTCATTCTCCTGCTTCAATCTGTCGATGTTTTCTATTGGGGGCGTGTGTCCGCTCATTGTTATCAAATTCCATAAGCAGTTAAGAGATATAGCTGCACCTCTTACTTTAATATTGGATTTGTCAGTTGAAAAGCTCACGTCAGGATTTATGCAAGTCAACATCTATATAAAATTTTAGAAATTTAATTCAAAATTAGAACATGTATATAACATTTTAACTTCCTTCATGTACTATTTTATTTTATTAGGTTTAAAGCCACGAGTGCGCAGCGCGAGTGGTTTTAGACCTAATAAAACACAACCTGCAAGTTTTTTAAATGGCTTCAAAAACGTTTGCATAATAAGTCAAATCTGAATATGAAAAATCTTTATATAAAAATCTTTATATAAAAATCTTTATATGAAAATCTTTATATAAAAATCTTTATATAGTTTGCATAACAATGGTCTTTTGTATTATTGCATAATAAATTTCTTTAGCTGGTATAAAGACGTATGCACGTGACTAATTTCTTACTGAAGATTGGATTATTGCTTCATGAATTATTCATGAGTTTTTGAAATATATATAAAAGTTTTGCTTACCAAAAGTCGTCCACTACAGTCTGTTTCATCTGTATAGGAATCATCTTTGCTGGTAAGCAAAACTTTTGTATTTGCTCTATCTATACGATATCGAGCACTCTCTAGTATTTCGTGGACCAAACCACATGCATGCATATATATATATATATATATATAAAATGTGTAAAAAATGCACGAATCATTCTGGGGACTTGAACAAGAATTTTAGCATTATGAGGACTTGTCCTCAAATCCCCACAATGCCACGTCAGAATTACACTACTCTGCCCTAAGCCTTTTAGAAAAATTTTTAATCTGGGAATAACAAAGGATATTTCCAGAAAGAAGTTATCAAAATTAGAAAAATAGGTACGCACTGCGTACATGTTGCATGCCATCTGAAACTTATGATCATAGATATCTTATATAAGATATCTATGCTTATGATGCGCTATAGCGCTTATAACCTTTGGTACAACTGGTGTGAAACTTAAAATATCTATTTAATATCATTATATTTACCCAATATATATTATTGTTATTATACCCAATATTGTTATTATACCCAATATATAACCCAATAGGTTACCCAACTACTTGAAATTGTTCACCTTTTAACAAAATCAATTGATGAAAAGGGACAAACGGATATTGCATTCCTTGATTTTTCAAAGGCTTTTGACTCTGTGTCTCATTTGTCAATGATGGATAAGCTATACGCGGCGGGCATCAGAGGCTCTTTGCTTAAATGGTTTGGAAGTTACCTACATGACAGGAAGCAGCGAGTAGTACTTGACGGCAAATGTTCCGAATGGCTTGATGTCACCAGTGGGGTTCCACAAGGCTCTATTTTGGGACCAGCTCTTTTTGTTCTGTTCATTAATGACATGCCTGATGTTATTTCAGAATCAGGAACGCTCGCATTGTTTGCTGATGATGCGAAGTGTCTACGTACAATCAATTCAGATGCCGATTGCGTGGCTTTACAAAGGGACTTGAATAATTTAACTACTTGGAGTGCAGAATGGAAATTACCATTTAACATTGACAAGTGTACCATCTCTACAGTAACAACAAACGCAACCCTGTTTCTTTTATTTATGAAATAGCTAATTGCGTTATCAAGAGAGTAAACGAACAGAGAGATCTTGGAGTCCATATAAGTAGTAATGCTACATTTAATGAACATATATATATTCAGATAAATAAAGCGAACAAGATGCTGGGCTTTATTAGACGTACAGTTTCGAGGGAAAAGTGCTTATTACCTACAATGAAATCACTGTACTGCGCACTGGTAAGGAGTAACTTAGAGTATGCTTCTGAGGTTTGGAGCCCAAAATCAATCACATTAATTACGAAAATCGAAAGGGTTCAACGCCGAGCAACACGGATCTTGTTGCCTGAATTGGAATATGTGGAACGTCTCCAACAGTTTGATGTTCCTCCTCTTTTACACCGTCGAGAGTTGAAGGATTTAACCACCTTTTACAGGATGAAACAAGGTTTATATAACTGTAATGTCGACTCCTACGTTGAATTCTGCTCAGACACAAGATTACGATCAACTGCCCAGGGGAAATTGAAAACCCCTAAATGCAGAACAGAACATTTTAGGGCAACTTATTTTAATAGAATAACGTACTTATGGAATAATCTACCTGAACAAATTCGAACTTTCAATGGTAGTGTGGCCATATTTAAGCGTTCTTGTAGAGAGTATTACAAAACTATACCGTATGATCCTGACCGACCTCGCGTTACTTGGGATCCATGAACTATCACACATTTGTAACATTATAGGGGGGGTGTTTTGTACAGTTATTTACTTTTTTCGATCATTTTGATCGCTACTTTATTTTTGGTGGAATAGCTTAGCATGGTTCTATTGTTCCTTTCTATTTCTTCCTTCTGCATGTAGTTTATTCAGTTATTATTTTTGTATGCAGTAAAACTTGATTAAATTAAATTAAATTAAATTTATATCATTATATTTAAATTTAATATCAATATATTTATTGCAAAATAGCTATTATGTCAAAATCAGACGTGTGCTCTTCCGATCTCTCTCACGCGAATTTGCCTACGGTGTAGACCCCAGCAGAAACACACGAATATAGACAATGTTTTTTTAAGCGACCGTTAATAGTTAGTTGCAAGTGACAGTAATAATAGCATTAAAGGAAGTAAGGGACCCTACAGTCATTTTTTAGTCGAAAAGCCACCTTAAGTAGGGGACTCCACGGAGATTCGTTTGGCTGTATCTTAAATACAGTAACCATGAATATGAGTACTTCCGCACACCGGAAGACGCATGCATGCCGTGATGCGCATGTCAAGTAGCGACAATAACAAAAATGTAAACAATACTTACTTGACTAAAAAATGACTGTATGGCCCCTTTAACAATGTCAAGGTGGGTCAAGGTTTTATCAAAAGCGATTGACTGTTAGATTTACTTTACAAATTAATAATTAAATAACGTTACTACAATAGATTGTAGTACTGAATTACTACAATAGATTGAAAATGATTATTATTTATCATTTTGACGTTTGAGTGATTGAAATGAGTTAATTTACACTATATCGAATGTCATGTTGAATCTTATGCGTACTTCACAATGGTTGCAATTTCGTTGTATATTTCAATTTCGATTTCAATTGTATTACTATTTATAATTTAAATTGTGTTTGATATTTATATTTCATGTTGTTTACAAAATATGCTGTAGTTTTGAAGCTTTGCACACAATATAATCAGTGCGAGCACAATGGCTCCGTTTCAGTTTGAGTATATAAAAATCGAGTATTTTGATAGTCTTTCACGATACATAAATATATTATAAAGCGCGTGACAGTTGATAAATAATCAGTGCGAGCACAACGGCTCCAAAATCACAACAAATAACAAAATATAAGGTAAGTTAAAACAGTAAAGCTTTACCTACCTCGATGTTCGCGGCTTTGAGGCTTTCAATTGTATTACTATTTATAATTTAAATTGTGTTTGATATTTATATTTCATGTGGTTTACAAAATACGCTGTAGTTTTGAAGCTTTGCACACAATATAATCAGTGCGAGCACAATGGCTCCGTTTCAGTTTGAGTATATAAAAATCGAGTATTTTGATAGGCTTTCACAATATATAAATATATTATAAAACGCGTGATAGTTCATAAATAATCAGTGCGAGCACAACGGCTCCAAAATCACAACAAATAACAAAATATAAGGTAAGTTAAAACAGTAAAGCTTTACCTACCTCGATTTATTTTTCTAAGGCGCTCGATTATGTAAATTTTCGGCGAATAATCAATATATAAATTTTCTTTGCGTTTCTTCGACGAAAACCCAGCATGAAAATGCTCGTCAGAAACTCGGTATTTGTTGTATTTTACGAATCTGCCACGTGACTGGTACGCTCACCGATCACCGATCACCGCTCACCGAACACGACACGAAATTTAGAGCTATATGAAAGTTACATGCCATATATGGCATGCAACAAAAACTGCAAAGTTTGGTTGCGAAATGTTGTAAAATACGGAAAATATAGCCCTGCGAAGTTCGCAAATTTGTATACATTTGTATTACGTGCGGAAATTGGTAACTAATTTAGTTACCAATTTCCGCACGTAATACAAAAGTATACAAATTTGCCAACTTTGATGGGGGACATTTTCCGTATTTTACAACATTTCGCAACCAAACTTTGCGATATTACTAATTCCAAGACGCTCCTTCAGTAGCTATGGTGATAGATTTCGTTCTTCTTGTTTAGATTAAAATTTAGTCTAAAGCACAAGTCGGCCATTAGCAACTGACAGTTGTGAGCTAATTATTGATCTGGGCAAATCTGGGCAATCCGTTCCCGGGGAGAACCTTCTAAAAGTAGTAAAATTCTAAAATTTGCCGCGAAATGCTCCAAACGCCTTGTAAAGTGTGCAATTTTTCAGTCATCTTTTTTGCGCGCGGACACCATTGGAAGTTTCGCACGACTGAAGTTTCACGAGATTAAAATAGGTCGCTTGCTTCTTCATGGAACCGCTACTTTTGGCAAAATCTAAACATAACGCACCCCTATCCTCCCGCCTATCGTCTCTCCTGACTCTTAATTACTAATAATTAACATTGCTTTTAGGTAGCCTAGGTGATTGTGCATACCACCTCGACAGCTGACGTCAGAATACATTACGATCTCATCCTTGACGAGGACAAGGCTGATTCAACTTACCAACTTCCACGAGTCTTCTTAAATGTATCACACTCCATTGCTCGGGTTAGGCGATTTCAAAAAATTCCACGAGTCTTGCTAAATGTATCACACTCCATTGCTTGGGTGAAGCAATTTCAAAAAATTGCATCGGAATGAAAACTGCAAGAAGAAATAATCAGAATTTTAATGACATCTTAAATGAACTGTCATCATGTTCTGCATCTATTAATTGGGATTTTATAAGATAGGTTAAAACGATACAAATTATTACAAATAATTTAAATAATTCACAGAGACTTTCCAAATATACTAATACTACATTAATAGGTTTTTTGGACACAGCTCTATTACAATATCATTGACAAGCCATAAAGCAAAATTCTTCCACTATAGCTGATTCTGCTTGAAACTAAAAACTACTGCAGTATTAAAGCAGCAATGTCACCCGCTGCGCATCCGTTCTGCGCATAACAAACCGATTTTCGGAATATGTCGGAAAGGATCGGAATCACTCGGAATCACAACATTCCAACTATAAAAATGTGCATATATTCACATTTTCAGCTGCGGAAATTGCCGGAAAAGACCAAACAATTGCTTCATTTCATACAGGTTGACAATTATAGTTGTAAAAATTCATGTGCCACCAAAAGAAAAGAGAACAGTAAGCGAGGTTGCCCGCGTATTAAGGCAAAGATTAAAGAACGTTGTGTGTTCTGCCAGCGTTGCAAGTGTCAAGTGTGGAAATCGCAAAACTCCTCAGTCTCCTTGCAAGAGTAGGGTATGTATGCGAATCAAATGTACTTGACGGTATCTTTTATTTGTGTTTGCATATTATACCACATTATATTTCTGTTTATCCTACTTTGTTGTAGAATGACGTTGGCGAAAGTACCATGTAGTGCATGTACGTCGTGGCCTGACACAGCGTGCAACTGGCAACACTGAGAAAACGATGATATTAAGCCAAGGTTTGTGAATTTCTATTAATACATGTTAAATTGACAAATTTAAAATGAGGTATATTAAACATGTTTGAAGATGCGGTACAGTCCGTATGTAAACAAATGCGTATGCAAACAAAGGTTTTGTTTACATTTCAGTATCCAAAATATTGAATTTTATTTGACAACTTATATTTTCATGATTCTAGAGTATAATAAATTATCAAGACACAACAATCAACATAAGAACATAAAATGAACATAAAATAAGAACATAAAATGAAATAAAAACATAAATAAACTGTTTGTATAATAAAAAGAGGGCTCCTATGTGCACATATGCAGATTGGACTGTACCACATCTTTAAGTTGAATAACTTTGGTTGAAACTGTTGAATGGTGATAAAGTCTAATTGGGAAGTGATGGCGCAAATGGGAAATAGCAGTATATTTGTTCAGGACGGCAAATATAATTCGGCAAAGGCGAATTGCCAACCTGTCAGGACATCATGTCTGGGCGGCAAATTAACATGCTGTAGATCTGTTTGCCGATGGTAAATTGTTGTTGACCTGATTTTTCCTACTTCAGATGCCTGAATATTAGCCAAATGAAACATAATTATATATTTATATAAGTGAAATATGCTAACATTTTCTATAATAGCTATTTAGTAAATAAAAATAACCAACCCCTTAACCTTCTAATTGAAGCTAATTGCAATGCATATGGGGTTGTGCATGCAAACCGTGTATCAGGCCATTTTGTTGTTCTCACCAAAAGCTTTGCTTTGATACCAAAGCGAGGCTTTGTGATGGAAACAAATAGCATGACTTAAACCCATATAAGGCCAATTATCTTGCTTTGATGTTAGAAATTGGTAAAGCTGTTGCATGGTCATTTCATTATTTTATTATAAAATACATTATTAAATTCACAGGCATTTATTCATACACTGGATGAAGACACAGTGAGAAAACTAGCAATTAGAAGTCTAAGAAGAGGAATAAGGAGTATGGATTATGTCCACACATGGGCTCGGCATGGATATTTGGGCAAAATGAATCACCGTGTTTGCCCCTCTTGTGTAGTCCTCAAAATAAAACTTTAACATATTCATTTGTGACTGGAGTTTATATGTGTTACAGAGAACGATGATATTCATGAACCTTTGATAAATTTTCTAGCGAAAATCAGCTTTTTCCTTTTGGTATGTCCTTTGTTGCTGGTGTGCAACAGTGGAAGCAATGTGGCCTGGGTCGATTGCATTTAAGGAAACATGGCGGGTGACATAGTCACCATCATGCAGTCAATCCGTTGCCCGTTGGATAACCTTTGAAATGAGAACTGTAATGCACTTGAATCCTTTTTCAACTTTTACCTCCCACTGCCTGGTCCTTCTGTTGTTGGAAAGGTTCATGACTTTGTAGTTTGTGTACAGGTGACTCAACATGAGAAAGGGTTTTGTCATCTGACCTTTATTTTTAATGGTGTAGATGTTTGGGGTTCTGAAAGCAGGAAATATGAAATATTATACAACACTAACACCTGTGGTCAATGCTGTAAATTATATAAAAATAAACCAATTCTTTTTATAATTTTTTATACAATTTTTCTTTATGTCTATATACCTTGCAAAATCGTATTTTAAAACTGAATATTAATATTACTCCCATTACAAAGCGCATCCTATATAAAAGTGAATGTGATTTTCATACCTTGGCTCATGTTTGCCTGTTCTTCAACCATGAGAATCATTGTGTTCTATAAATTTGTAGTCGAAGACTCAGTTGTGCTTGAATTAATGAATTTCGTCGCTGTTTTGACAGTATTTTTGCAGACGTTGACTTCCTTAAATACCAAAGCAAAATACATTGCACATTAGTTTCGTTTACTCTTCAAAATATATTGAAAATCATATTGTAAACCACCTACCTGCTGCGAAATTCCAAATAATGACAACAGATGTGCAGCAAAGTCAGTGTGTCACTTGAATGCTCATATGGCCTCTTGCAACGTATCAAATATCTTAGCACTTAAATAGATCCTCTTTGCTCTTTCTCCCATAACTTTCTGTACGCCTTTCGGCTCGAAAACACCTTTTTTCGACCAGCATTTTTCCTTCAACCTCCGTGCATCGGCTCATGGTGCCCTGGTCAGACGCCATATTGAAATTCGATAAACTTGAAAAAGTTGGGTGAAGTTTTTCAAGTTGATCTATGCGCAGAACGGATGCGCAGCGGGTGACATTGCCGCTTTAAAATACGCGTTCACCAAATAGTCGAATGATGTTATGAACACTTGTTGAGAAGTGCTCATAATGTAAAAAATCTTGTACAAGTCCCCATAATGATTGACATGTGTTTTTCACGTTTTATACACTCACCTTCAGTTGCAAAAGAGCAATGTAAAGACTTCGATTAATTACTTATTTACCTTGTAACAATATCTATTTGAAGAAATTTCCCAATCGTATGATGTCTTATTATAGTTTCTTAAAATATCTTTTAAAGAACATTTGTAGATATTTGACGAAAATGGAGATGCTTTGCTATACATAATAGCAACCGAAAAACTGCACTTCATTAATAGAGAAACGCATCACTATCAGTCAATACATGTAGCTGGTGAAAATCAATTAAAATAAAACTGCAGTAATACAGGGTGTATCAAAAACAGGTAATCAACTTTCATTGTGTGGTAATTATACACTGGTGGTTTATGGACGTAATTTTTGCATGGTCTTAAAGAGCAATGTCTTAGCTGTTGAATGACAATTTTTTGTGCCATTATAAGCAAAACGGGGCAAGTATGAGCCTAATAAAAATTGCAAGTCGAAGTCCCATATTTTCACCGTTCGGAATTGAGGCTAAACTTATTGAAAATTTACTCCATCTAGGACTGAAAGATGACGCACTTCACTTGAACAAACGACCTGAGTATGCATAATTACTAATAATTATTGGTAAAATCTTATGCTATAAGCTCTTTGTTGCCATGAGACATTCCTGATTAATTGTGTGTTTTTTTTGTTGTGCACTGCTTTAATTAGGCAAAGGAGGTGAAAATATGTGATTTTGACCGACAATTTTGATCGCTCTCGTATTTGTTCTGTTTTGCTCAGAATGACCCAAAAAACACGTCATTCAACAGCTCATACCCTGATCTTTATGACTATGCAAAAATTACGTTCATGCACCCAGTAATAGACGCACAATAACATACCAAATTTGGATTACCTGTTTTTGATACACATTGTATGTCTCAAATATACCGAATAATTTGCCGATTCAAAAGCTAAAACCCAGGCTATTGCATGGCCTATAGTTAATATATATGAACTTATACTAACATGTTGACTTGAATATATAGAAGGTTTCGCTCTATGTCGTTCCATGTGACCTTGATGTAATCATATTGCTATATGTGTTTCGATACGTTCTAAAGTTGGGCGGTATACCGGTATTCTTAGTTATTCACAGTATTTAGTTGATACCGGTATGGCGGTGTTGGTTTTGACGCTATACCGGTATACCGTTATCGGCGGTATACTGTAAGATATACCGGTATCATGGCTATCATTAGTTTATCTAATAGGAGTTTATCTAAATTAGATTTTAACATTTTATAGAACATCGTTAATTAGCCAAAATTTGGAAACTATCTAAGTCCACGGTATTTTAGCGTTTCATTTGTCGTAAACAACTCCAAATATGGGAGTTAAGTAGATTGTGCATTTGCGCTACAGTCGCTACGGGTGTAAACTGCATTTACTGAACCGGTATTGAAATTTCAATACAACCGGTATTGAAATTTCAATACCGCCCAACTTTAATACGTTCTCATGGTTTGAGTTTAAGTGATTGACCGTTAATCGGAACCAGTGTCCCATTACTGCGTCATCCTTAGAGCCTGCAAAACATCGACCTCTACGTAATATGGTGGCACGTAAGAACACCATAGCAAACCATAAACACAACTGTTTTAGTCCACTATACGTTATTTGGGAATTTCGAAATACATGCGAGCATGACAGATTGTTGCCGAATTTTTCAACTGCTCATAAACAAATTTTAGACGGTTGCAAATTAGTATTTTAATAAAACCGATAACAACTCATAACATCTCATGAAATGCAGCACAAAGAATCCTGAAGTACATCAATTGCAACGTTTTGCATAAATATAAAGAAATTAATTTAAGAAATTGTGTTCCTTTATACAGTACTGATCTACTATTTTCACTAGTTTTGACAAGGGCAAGGAACCTTTTGATGTTGTTAACGCCAATAATATATTTATAAGTACGCAATACATGGCCTCAACGACTAGTTTTAACATTCAGAATCAGATCAGGCCCAGGGCCATTTGGTTTTATACCTAGAATAACTGGGAAGTATACACTTCTTGACGAGAATTAACTTATAAACGGACATTTAGTGCTTCAACTGAAGACAAGACACTTTGATGCATTAAAATGGATTTCGAGTTCTTTTAACTTACCAAGTTCCATAAGTCTTGTTAAATGTATCACACTCCATTGCTTGGGTTTAGGCGATTTCAAAAACTTGCATCTGGAAAAAATAATTTCGGAATGAAAACTGCATGTAAGAAGAAATAATCAGAATCTTAATGACATCTTAAATCAAGTGTCATCATGTTCTGCATCTATTAATTGGGATTTTATAAGATAGGTTAAAACGTTACAAATTATTACAAATAATTCCATTAGAGAGGTTTAGGGAACACGACCCGACGTCGACGAGGACATGAAAATGGCGTGGCCACATCCATGTGATTTTCACGTCCTCGTCGACGTCGCGTCGTATTTGCTAAACCTCTCTAATAATTCATGGAGACTTTCCAAATTACGTTTTTCATTTCCCAGTGGGCGCAAGGCCAAAATATACCGTGTCTAATTTAAACCATGAGATAATACGAGATTGAAGACATTGAAGCTATAACTTCTTCAAAATTTTCAATACTCGCGAAGAAATGCTAAACGTCATCAAAGAAATTTAATAGGCCTTTTTGGTCGATTTTTTCGCTAATTTTCAAACCGATCTTCATGCAGATTAAAACATTTATATCTCCCCTAATATCGAATGAAAGATCAAGTGCTGTATACCAAAATTTAAGTTAGCCTTTTCCTAATACTATACAACTTACATAAAAGCCATAACTGGTACAGTTCTTACGCTATATAAGCCTATATTAAATCAAACACCGATTCTTTTTTTGAGACACCCGGTACATTAATAGGTTTTTTGGACACAGCTGTATTACAATATCATCGACAAGCCATATACTGTAGCAAAATTCTTCCACTATAGCTGATTCTGCTTGAAACGGAAAACTACTGCACCATTAAATTAGCGTTCACCAAATAGTCGAACTGACGTTATGAACACTTGTTGAGAAGTCCTCATAATGCAAAAAATCTTGTACAAGTCCCCATAATGATTGACATGTGTTTTTCACGTTTTATACACTCGCCTTCAGTTGCAAAAGAGCAATGTAAAGACTTCGATTAATTACTTATTTACCTTATAACAATATCTATTTGAAGAAATTTCCCAATCGTATGATGTCTTATTACTGTATATCTTTTAAAGAAAAATTTGTAGATATTTGACGAAATTAGAGATGCTTTGCTAATTAAACTACAACTGCAGTAATACAGGGTGTATGAAAAAAAGGCAATCCAACTTTGCAATGTCTTTGTTCGTAATTACTGGGGGTATATGAACGAAAACTTGGTCATAAAGAGCAATGGTCATAAAGCATGGCATACATACATACATACATACATACATACATACATACATACATACATACATACTATACATACTATACAT